GTTCTGCCACAACATCAACCTTCCACCTTCGTTATCGCCAAACGCTCGAACGCAATGATTGGCGCCAAATCATCTCACAAATATTAACTGATGACGTGAATACTACAAGATATCGTGGAACATACAACGTGAACATTCTAAAATACATCATAGAACATCACATGTATACCATGTGAACATCATAAAATACATCGTAGAACATCACATGTATATCACATGAACATTACAAAGTACATCATAGAGCTCCACATGTAAAATACGTAAACATCACATGTATATTACGTGAATATCACAAAATACATCATAGAACATCACATGTATACTACGTGAATGTCACAAAATACATTATAGAACATCACATCTATACTACGTGAACATCAGAACATACATCGTAGAACATCACATGTATACTACATGAGCATCACAAACTGCATCGTAGAACATCACATGTATACTACGCAAACATCACAAAATATACCATAGAACATCATATATATACTACGTGAACATTCCAAAATACATCCTGAAACATCACATGTATACTACGTGAATATCATTATTTAGAGTAAAGTAGACCAGAAGAAAAAAGGGAAACAAGAAACTAACAAATGCTATGAATATGGTATAAATTAATCATTTTAAAAATAAATTAATAAAAGTCCAAGCAAAACATAAGGGAAAAACTACAAAAAAGAAAAAAAATCTCGTGGCATATCTCATTTATACCATGTGAACATCCAAAACACATCATAGACCATCCTATGTATATTACGCGAACATCACATGTATCCTATAAAATATAGAAAATCAAAATAAAATATGGACATGGAAAACAATTAATTAGAGTAAAATAATGAAGAATAGGAAATAAGAGAAACGCTAATTAAAACATGCTATGGAATTATAGAAAATATAAAATAAATAAATAACTAAAAACAAAGTTAATGAAAGATAGACAAAAGACAAGGAAAAACAAAAATAATAAAATAGAAACACTAAGTGATAGCGAAAAAGTAAATAGAAACATCACACAACTAGTATGTGAATAAATGAGAAAAAAAGAAAAAGAAAAGAAAAAAGATATATATAAGAAATAAAAAAAAGGAGAAACTAACGCAACAGTCTCCAGAAGCTAAGAAAAAGAAATATATAGTAAAAAGGAAAAAAAAGCTAACTACCACCGGCCAAGCTATAGAGTTAATATAAGCAATAAAGAAATATAAGAGTTGGGCATCGCTACGATTGGTGGAGTTGTACTGCTCCGTGCCATGCGTCGATGGGCCATCCGCCAACGCGTGGCACCTGCGCGGGAAATCGTTGTGGCACCACGGGAAATCGTCGTGGGACTTGCGCGGGAATCATCAGCACGCGGCTCCCGTCCGATCGATTTCCGCACCAAGTTGGCTGTTACGTTGGCGGGCAAATGGCAGCCACACGTTTATCCGCTTATATATACGAGGCGCTTCCCGGGCAGCGAAGACTTCACCAACACAAGGTCAGTCAGCTAGATAGGATTTCTCCACACGACGCAGGAGCAACACTAGTAATAGCAGCTCTTGCCATGGCGGACCGCAACCTCGCGCCGACCTGGGTCACCAAAGCCGGCTTGGGCGTTCTCACCCTCAACTCCGGCCTGGCCATCTACCGCGCCAGAGATGATCCGGCCTCCATCCTCTTCGTCTCAGGTTCGTACACCACCCTGCTTCTCCTTTTCCGCTGCCTCCGGGACTACGAGCGGGCGGCCCCCGGCTCCCCGCCCAGGGAACGGGCGAGGCGCGCGGTGTGGCCGCTCACCACGCTGCTCACCGTGGCCTTCGCGTGGAAGGTGGCGGCGGTCATGCCTTCCGCTGTCGCGGCGGCCGTCTGGGCGCTAGCCGTCAGCGACCATCGCCGGTGGCTTCTTTGCTCTGTTCGTTCCCGGATGAAGCCGTTGATCGGTCGGTGGCTTCAGGCCGTGTGTGTGTGACTGTGTGTGTTACCGATATGATGCATGTTTCAGCTTTCTCGCCCTCTGCGTCCTCGCCATCTACCGCGCGTGGGGTGACCTCATCTAAATCCTCTTTGTTTCAGGTTCGTACGCCACCCTGCTGCTCCTTTTCCGCTGCCTGCGTGACTACGAGAGGGCACCCCTCAGTTCCCCAGCGAGAGAGCGGGCGAGGCGCGCGGTGTGGCCGCTCACCACGCTGCTCACGCTGGGCGTCGTGAACTGCGACATGGCTCTCGCCATTCACAAGGCCCGCAACAACCAGGTCTCCACGACGTGCGTGCTCGTCACTTACGCGGCGCTCCTGGTGCTGGTCTGGCTCTTTGTCCGAGAAATTGCAAGCCCCGCGCGCGGCGTCGTCGGCTCCGGACAGGATCAAGGCCAAGGCCGCAGTATGGGTGCTGCCGACGCTGCTCACTGAGATGGTCGTCGGTCGTCTTGAAGGTGGCGTCCCGCCTGTCGTCCAGGCGGGATGTTGTTGTCAGTTTGGTATGGTTCATGGCCATCGCCACGGTTGCCTTTTGGTTCTCCTAGCTTGTTCTTCTGTTCTGTACTTGCCGCGTCAGTGCCACAAGATCTTGCCGGCAGTTACTAAGCTCCGTGTGCGGACGAGCGTTAGCTTGAGTGGTTCCGTCCCCGTCGTGGGAAGGCCCCGGTTGGGAGTTCGACTCCTGGCTGCCGCAGGCACAGCTGCGGTTATGCGCAGTTTGTATAGAAAAAAATCCCTTCGCCTGTCCCGCGTTCCCAAAGCACAGGTTGGTGGACCGGCCCACTCACAGGGTTACGGGCCCCTGTGTGAGGGCAGAGCATGGGGTTCGGGGGTTTTCTCGGCCTGTGTGAGAAGGTCTTCTTCTTAAGCACAAAGTTGCGGGGGCTGTCTGTCCACCGCAGGCGGAGTTTTTACTAAGCTCCACGTATAAGATCTTTTATTAATAAAAAGCCGTCTTTGTTTTCAATCTTGCGTCTAACCTCTAAGCAAAGGTAGCGTGTTCCCGTCTCTCTTTCACGCTTTCCTTCACGACCTTCTCGCGCAAAACCGTGTGTGTGTACCTTCAAACCCTCAAGGCCTCAAAGGAGACAATCTTGCACTGCCTGCAACCTATATATCGTCTTAGGATGCAGGTGCAGATCGAGAATCGCCGGCATGGACGCAGCAGGCGGCGGCCTCGGCCGCACGGGAGCCGTCCTCCTCACCGCGACCTGCGCCGCAGCTACGTACAGGGCGGCGGCAGGGGACGTCGCTTCCGTAGGCCGTAGCTTTCGTGATCGTCAGCTACGCCGCGCTCAAGTTACTGCTCCGCTTCCTTCGCGCCTACGAACTGGCGCCGCCGGAGGCGGCTGTCGGCACGGAACGGCTGAGGCGTGATGACGTGGCCCGTCGCCGTGGGCGTCTGGGCCGCGGCTGCCGTGACGTCTGCTGGTGGCTTCGTTCTCCTCTTTCGTCAGCAGCGTCGACGCCTCTGAGCACTGCACCTGCACCTGAGTGATCGGATCGGATGATCGCCCCTGTCTTGGTTGTTGATGTGCTTGCATGCATGATCGGATTTCTGTTTGGTAAAGATTTGAGGTACGTACTATATACGCAGTAATTATTTGAGCGCAAACATATATACACACGGCCCTATTGATCTTCCCTTAATTCCATTTTGTGAAAAAATAACTATAGTACTAGTTTTCTTGACAAAATAACATTGGGTCTTTCTTTTTTTCCAAAAAGAAATACGTAAAATATACCAATGGGCATGGGCCTCAATCGTGTTTCAATCGACTGCTCGACGATGTTGCAGGGTATATATTTGGTGTGGCGCGCCATCGATGGATGTGTTCATGTGTAACTTAAGCTCCAAGTGTCTCCAATAATTTACATGGGATGCTGCTATATATGCTGCCTGGTTGCTAGCTGTATGTATTCTCTCAAACTTTTTGATGGTGTGCTACTATACAAATATTCAATTCGATCAAGTGATCGACGAGTTTTATTTTACTTTTGGCAGGTTACCATGCACGATATGATGTTGTGCATATATATGTGTTTGATTGAAGGTTTTCCCGTGTGCTGATATGGTGAAGTGAAGGAAATGCATGGATTGCTAGCTACTCCCTCTGCCTCGCTTTAAATGTCGTCCTAGCTTTCTACATGCTACATGCTAGATTCCCTCAATCTAGACATACCTTGCGTCCAGATACATGCAACGTGCTATGAACTTGGACAGCCAAAAGCAGTACTAGGACAACACATATAATGGGACAGAGGGACTACTTCATCAAACAATCTGGATATATATATATATATATATATATATATATATATATATATATATATATATATATATATATATATTTGTTATTTTTTCGCTTAATTGTATCGCTCCTCTAGTGACATTTGATGCTCATAACTCCTGGAACATTAAACGCCACGACTAGTTGGTCGTGTTTGTCGTGTTTCAAAAATTGAATCTCTTTTCAGCGGTTTTTGCGATTTAATGTCAACTTGCATGAGGTGTTATCATTTCTGGCGCATGCAGTAGTGTTGGGCCGGTTGTCCCTTCACATAAACTGAAGACTATATAGCGCAGCCCACAAGCTTGTAGCACGGCCCAATGAGCGTGAGGCCTTGATTGCCATTAGGGCATTGCAAGATGTATGTAGCCCTTTTTTTAAGAGATGTAGCTAGGCCGGGTGTGTTTGGTTTGTTTCCTAGACAAGCCTGGCTAGCTCTAGACAGCTTTAACTAACGCAATCGGTGTGTTTGGTTGTCTGGTTTAGTTTGCATAGACTCACCTCTTCCTTCACCTGGTAAGTTTACCCCCTTTGAGGACTTTAGTCGAATAGGTTGTGGGCATGGTCTGCTGGCGCTGGAGCTTGCCGCCGTCGTTGCTCGTCTGCTGCTCGTGCTTGCCGACGGAGGTTGCGTGAAGGCCACCCTGCTGCTCGTTGCTCGTCTGCTGCTCGTGCTCGGCGCCGCCGTTGGCGCTCGTGTGGAGGAGTGGCACGGTGGAGCTCCCAGGTTGCATCCATGGCACGTCCGAGAAGGCAGCGCGACCGCAGCGCCACCCGTTCTGCCAGCAACCGCAACCATGTCCACCACCACCGCCCGGATGAAGCGCTAGGCGTCCATGTCCCTCCCCGGCACCAAGCTAGCGGCGTCCGTGACCCAAAGACAGGCCTAGGTCGGCAAGGGCAGGGACCCCTCCCCGGGGTCGAGCTGGCGGCGCTGCTCCGCTCCCTGGGCCTCCGCCCCGCCGTCGAGGACGAGATCCACGCGCTCGTATTCATCTCGACGGCAACTCGACGAGATCCACCGCGACGGCAGTCGCTCCATCTTCGCCATCGAGCTCGCGCGCTCTATGTCGCCTCCACCACCATGGCGACGCTCCATGGCAACGGATTCATCTCCGCCTCCACCACCACGGTGACGCGGGGCCGGTAGATCTCGCGCCAGGGCCAGTGGTCCCACGCGGTGCTCGGTAGAGCTCGCAGGCCGGTGACGTGGTGGCCGACGGTGGAAGAGGAGGTGCACCGGCGGTGGTGCTCGCGCAGAGAGCGACGATAGAGGCGGTGAGCGGACGCTGCTACGGGAGCTGGCCAAGCCTGGCTCCATGGAGCGTTTCCAGCAAGCCAGCCTAATCGTATAGTAGGCCTGGGTGTTCGGGTTACCCGTATTTTTTGGGTTGGGTAGTTCAGGTAATGAAAATTGCTACCCGATATTAGTCATAAAAAATTACTACCCGCAATTTCGGTACCTGATAATTCGGGTCCGGGTTCGGGTATTCCCGATTTACCCAAAATTAAGGATGGAACTGTCTGTGCCGACTGCCGAGACCCAAGCAAGGCGTTCGACTGTGCGACGGCTGCTAAGCAAGGCGTGCGATGGCTGGGCGGTGGGTAAGGGCGACTCGCGGCCAGGCGACAGGTGAGGCGGGTGAGAGCGGTGCATCTCTCCTTGCTTTCCTCTGGACAGCGTAAGATGGCAGCAACGTCAGGAATCGGGAGGCGGTGGGTGCTCCTCGCTGAGTCGCTAATCCCTAGATCGAAATCTGAAGGTATCGGGGTCTCATGGAAACGAATAGATGAGAACGTCTAGTCTAGTTTGGACTCTTTAGGTGGGCTGGTGGGTTGGGCCACGAAGACCGTGAAGGTTGGGAGTTGACATTGCCTATCGGACTCTAGTGCAGATCAGGTATTATGGGTAGTTCGGGTACTGGGAACGCAGTCTAACGCGCTACCCGTCGCACTCGGCGCCGAGCACGCGACACCAGGCCACGACGGGCCAGCCCAGCAGACGCCCCCCTCCCCCTATCCAACTCGCTGTAGCCTCCCTTCCCTTCCCAAGCGAGCACCCAAAACGCTTCTTCCGCTCCTTTTCCTTTAGGCAGCGCAGCCGCGGGGGGCGACGGTTCCGAGAAAATTGCAGTTATAGGACGCGAAACAATGCGCTTCGCTATTATAGGACTCCAAACGTCGACTTTGCTAAAATGACCCATGAAACGTTGGCACTTTGTTATACATGACATTTGGTCTTTTTAATCACTTTTCTCAACTAAAATGCATGTATTTTGCCATGATGTGACCGTATTGCCCTTCTGCCTTTTGTATCCTTGATCGATCATATCTTTTCATCTCCTGACGTTTCATCTCTCCCTCGCGACGCCCGACGTGCCGTTCCTCCTGCCCAACGTTGCCGTTCCTCCTTCCCTCCCCATGCCGTCGTTCCCTTCCCATCCTCGGCTCCCATGGATGGAGAGCCGCCGCCCGAAGATGATGGACGCCCGATTGCCATGGACGGACAAGCAGCCGAAGCCCTGGCGGCCTCTGCCCTAGCCGCTCGGGGTCATGGCCTGGCCGCGGCGCCTAGTGGCCTGGGCGCGCCGCCTGGTGCCATGGCCGCGCCCCCTGGTGGCCTGGACGCGCAGGCCGCGTCAACCGATGGCCATGTACAGCCGGCAGTGGAGGCCCCTACCGACGCCAGTGCTCTAGCCCTAGCCAGAACATTGCTGACCACTGCTCCTCTTCCGACAATAGAGTACAACCTTCCTGTTCTTGAAGTGCAAAGGTATTGGCTGCACTAGATTTCTATTTTTTTACCACGATAGTAGTAGACAGTAGTAAAACTTGATTTCACTTGTTTAGGTCCCAAGTAGATCATGTGGAAAATATGGAAAGAGTTGATTGGGATAACATACAAATAGTGGAGACACATGATGACGAAGGTCGTATTGCACTTATGAGTGAGTCGTAGATTTGTGAGCTTTTAGGCTTGACAGAGGAGGACACAACAAATATACCTGCACAGGGCTTTGATTGCCGAATGGATGAACAGGGGCATGATAATGAGCTTGGGCAAAATAATGATGGTGCTGCCATTCCTACTAGTGATGAGGTACCGGGTGAGATGGTCATTTCATATGATAAGAACAACCCATCAATGGATTTAGGAACAGTGTACCCAACAATAGAGGAGTTCAAGTTGGCAGTGCGGCAATTTGCCATCAATAAGGAGTTTGATTTAGGAACAGAGAAGTCATGTAAGGCGAGATTTAGGGCTTTTTGCAAGTCCGGTGATAAAGATTGCCCTTGCCCTTGGAGGATAGATGGCACCAAACATAAAGGCCAAAGCACTGTGGAGGTGAATAATTTTTTTTCTTTCATTAATTCTACTTTTTATGTAAATTAATATGAATCTCATTGATTTTTTGTTTTGTAGGTAACCGTCTTAGTCGATAACCATACATGTGTGTCTAGCTGAGGCAGATAACTACAACTCCAAATCTGAAGTGGGTAGCTAGCAAGGCTGTGAGTATCCTTAGAGATGATCCAAATATTGGTGCTAAGGAATTGCAAAAGAAGTTGCAGACAGATCACAAGTGTCAAATTGCATATGACACTGTATGGCGGGGTAAAGAAAGAGCTCTTGATGAAGTTTATGGCAAATGGGAAGAGAGTTTTGAGCTCTTGTTTAGGTGGAAGGCCGAGGTAATGAAGCGGTGCCCCGGGAGTGTCGTTGAGATTGAGGTACTTGAGGTGGATGGTCAAGTATATTTCCACCATTTTTTCTGTGCTCTTAAACCATGCATTGATGGTTTCTTGGAAGGTTGTAGGCCTCATTTGAGCATAGATGCTACAACACTTAATGGATGGTGGAATGGTCACTTGGCGGCAGCTATAGCAGTTGATGGTCACAATTGGATGTATCTACTCGCTTATGGCTTCATAGCTTCAGAAACAACAGACAACTGGACTTGGTTCATGGAACAATTAAAGAAGGCTATAGGTGATCCTTCACTCCTTGCTGTTTGTTCTGATGCTTGCAAGGGCTTGGAGAATGCAGTGAAGAATGTATTCACAAATGCAGAGCAAAGAGAATGCTTTTATCATCTTGTCAAAAATTTCCAGAAGAGATATAGAGGGTTTGGCCAGATATATCCTACGGCAAGGGCTTACAGAGAAGACATATTCTATGACAATATAGCAAAAATGGTAAGTGAATCATCAGAAGCAGTGAAATGGTTACAAACCAATCATAAGCTATTATGGTATAGGTGTGGTTTCAATCCAGAAATTAAGTGTGACTACATAACTAGTAATATTGCTGAGTCATTTAATAACTGGATTAGAGACCATAAAGACTTACTTGTTGCTAACCTTGCTGATAAGATTAGAGAAATGATCATGGTACTGTGGAACAAGAGAAGAAATATTGCATACAGGCTATCTGAAGGTAGGATACTTCCAGCTATTATGCATCAGCTAAAGGCAAATACTAGAGGCTTGGGACATTTGAAAATTGTACCATGTTCTAATTGGAGTGCAGAGGTGTGGGACCATAGCAGCAGAGTTGAGAGACATATTGTCAAGTTACACCAAAGAACTTGTACATGACTTGAATGGCAGCGCACTGGTAAGCCATGTCAACATGTATTGGCCTATGTAACCCGCCAACGGGGAGTTGACCTTGAACAGTTTGTGCATGACTACTACTCGGTCAATAGATTCAGGGCTGCTTATGGAAGAGAGATTGAGACGATGACAGACAAAACACAATGGCCACAAGTTGACCTACCATTTTTTAGTTGGTGCACCTCTTGCTAAATTACATGTTGAAAGACGAAGGAAACTAAGAAGGAAGGGATGGATGGAAGGTGGCCACAAGAAGAAAGGTGGTGAATTTACCAACGAGGGTGAAGGTGAGAAGGGATGTGACAACGATACTGCTCTAACAAATGGAAAGGGAAAGAAGATGATCAGAGGACCTATGACTTGCAAAAAATGCGGAGAAAAAGGTCACAGGCAAGCTAGTGCCAAGTGCCCACTAAATGGGACAGCAAAAAAGAGGTAAGAACTTATTTTCTTTATCAAGAAACTTGAATAAAAATGTTAATATTAATTTATTTGATTACTTGTAGGAAGCGTAGTCAACTAGGAAGAATGTTACAAAAGCTGCGCCAACAGAACCTAGCACCCCACGGAGGTCGACTAGAGAAGAAATCCTACGGGATAGTCCAGGAAGGGTCACTAGAAGGTAAGGAATATTAACATATTTACTGTACATTAATTTTTCCATACATATAATTGTCATATCGTATTTATGTGCAGTAAGCTTGCGATGTTATTAGGAGAGGGCACATCTTCACAAATCGACATCACTAGTCCCGTGAGGATGCCTACCGCGACAGCACCGAAAAAGATGACTCCAAAGAGAAAGCTACAAATTGGATGAATTATTTTAGTTGTGATGAGATGTAAACTCATGCTTTATTTCATATGACTTGGATCTCGTTTGGAACTAAATTATGGTCTTCTGAGATGAACTTGTTTATGCTAGAATCATGGTTTTATGAGATGAGCTCGTTTGTGCTAAATTCATGGTTTTATCTATTACTTGTAATTGTGTATGGATCATCTTTGATAATTTATATTACATATTAAACTGTACATGGCGGCCAGCCAGCCCAGGCCACGCCCAGCCATGGCCAGGCGGTGGCCAGTCGTGCCCAGGCGCGGCCAGCCAGGCAGGCCAGGCGAGCGGCCAGCAGCCCCATCCCACGTTAATTGGAGCTCTGAGGGCAATACGGTTACATCATGACAAAATACTATATATTTTAGTTGAGAAAAGTGATTAAAAAGAACAAATATCATGTATAACAAAGTGCCAACGTTTTAAGGATCGTTTTAGCGAAGTCGACGTTTGGACTTCTATAATAATGAAGCGCATTGTTCGCGTCGTATGTTGCAATTTTCTCGACTGTTCCGCCTCCCTGTCGGAACCCCGGCCAGCGAGGGGTGGTCGGTAGGATGTAGCGGTGGTCGACTGAGCAAATGATTCGCTCACTTCGCCACGCGTCCAGTCCCTTTTCTTCTCTCTGCATCAGATTCGACATGGTTTGGCTCCTGCAGCTGGCATCCGCGGCTTCTTCGGGAGTTTGGCGAGCG